AATCAATTACTTGATACTAGAGGAGAAAAACTAATTACATGGCAGCAATTAAAAAGCTATCAAGACCAATCGAGTAAAGAAAAAAAAGCAGAATAGTTCAAAGCAATTGAATTAAAAGTGCTCAACAGCCCAGAAAGCAGAATAGTGCAAAGATGCTTTAAAACCAATGAACAAAACACTCAGACAATACAAGTTAAATGGAAGCAAATATCAGAAGATAAAAGAAAAAAAAATGGATAATATATGGTACACGAGATCACAAATAGCTGAGAAAGGTGGTCAAAAAGAAAAAGAAAAAAGTATTAATCGAACACTGGCAAATGGAAGGCAAAGAAAACAAAGTAGCAACAGAGATTAAAAGATGTGAGAGATGTATAAGAAAAGAAGAATGAACAAGAAACAGTTGTCAGCAATAAACAAGATTAAGTAATAACATTCACATAATTCCAGATAGATTAGTAAGTAAAAGCACCAATCAAGTCAAAATAGCAATAGACCAAATAACAAACAAGACAGAAACAAACAAGTCAAAAATAAGTAAATGCAAACTAGAAGGTCTTATAATAATAGAGGAACTAAAGATAGAAGTTATTAAACAACAAAAACTAGAAGAAAATATTAGTTAAGAAATAATAGAAGTTCTAAAAAGAAACATTATAAGAGACAAGAGCAAATATATAATATATACTAATGGTACAACTAATAGGAAAAACAGTAAAAAGCTAATGCCTAGCAATAGTATAGGCATAGGATGGGCCAAACAGATGAAACACAAGAATGGCCAGAAGAAGAACTAACATTTGGACTTGAAGAATGGCAAACATTGACGATAGCAGAGCTAGTAGCAATTTGGACAGCAATCTTAACAATACTGAAAGAGAAACAGATCGAGATACATACTGATAGTAATGCTGCAATAAGAAATATTAACAGAAGCTTAAAACAAGCAGATAAAAACAAGATTATTAAAAAGAAGAATGCAATATGGATAATAAAGATTAAAGATCTGGTCAAGACAAAAAACATTCAGATAGATCTAGTTAAAGTTAAAAGTTATAGTAAAGATAAGTGGAATGATAGAGCTGATAGTTTAGCGAAGAAGGAAACAATAAGTAGGAAAATTGTACAGGCTGAAAAAGTCAGTTGTAAAGAGATAGAGTACTGCCTAGAGTGGGAAAACAGATGAACTGACATACCAGCCAGACTGCTTTGCAAATTAGTAACAAATGCAAAAATAGGAGCAAAGTAGAAAGAAACAAGAGCAGTTAAAAGTTTAAAGCTAGAAGCAGAAATCACAATCTACGATTGGACTTATTTGTGGAAAAAGCTAAAGACAACCAAGAGAATACATTGCACAACAAAAAGAAGTAGTACGAGAAGAAATGCTTTTATTAACTGCATAATAGATAAGCTTTCAACCTTGAAAGAACTTAACAGAAGAAGGCCTGATATATATACAACAGTAGAATGCCAAGTGTGCCAAGAAAAAGTAAAAGAAATACAAGAACATTTGGCAGCATGCAAGAGGCAAAAAAACCTCTAGAAGAGAATTTAAAAGGTAACTATTGCAACAGCATGGAAGAAATTAAAAAAAAAAAAAAGATACAAATTCCTTCATATGTGTTATATATGCCGCTCTTTGGAAAAACAGAAATAGAAGAAGTCAAAATGAGAGAAGCACTAATAAAAGGTCTAATCCCAAAAAAAATACAAGATAAACTGGCACAGCTCTTAAATTCAAAATCAAGACAGCAATTTGTAAATGCAGTAGCAATAACAGCCTAAAATACATTTTATGAACAAGTATAGAGAATATGTTGTGAAAAAATTATCGAATAGGAGAAAAAGATTAGAATAACAGATAAAATTAAAAGAAAAAAAGACAGAAAGCTGAAGGAACCAAAAAAATGAGAAAAAACAAATCAAAAAAGAATAGAAGGGAAAAAAAAGAAATAAGAGAAAAAAGAAAGCAAGTTTAGAAGGAAGTAATAAAGACAATGTTGGAGCTTGTCATGAAAAGGAGAAGACCCTTCTATTATGAACTTTAAGTAGTCAAACAAGCAGCTTACTTCTGCTCGAAGTAATGTGGCAGGTTGCACTTAGGTATCAGTAAGGTGGTCAGGTGATACTAGACTTAGATATTAGAGATATTTATGTAGTTACAAATGTAATTCCAAAAACTTAATAAAGTACTAGCATGACTGCTTATATGTTAAAAAAAAAAAAAAAAATTATCTACATCAATTCAACATGTTTGATCTTGATGCATATGTAGATAATAAACATTACATATAGTCAAACAATATTAGTCAAAGTTATATTGACTATATCTAGACTGACTTATTTAACATTTTATTCTTTTTTTTATATCAACTTGATAATAGTAATTCATCTATACTTAGTGACCACTCTATTCTTATATCTACTTGGACTTTTACAAATGCATATAGCAAACCACCATAACATCATACTAATATTAGTCTTAAAATTTTTAACTACAAGGCTATGTTACCAAAAAAATAAACAGAATTTTCAGACCTTCTTTCTCATAACCTTAACTTACACAATACTTTACTTAATAGCAATACTAATAAAAGCATTAAAACTACTTGGCACAAAATTGAATATGCAATCATTAATGCTATAACACTAGGAATGTTATAGTTCAGTTTGGTTTAGTTCTGGTTCAAAAAACCAGTCTATCCTTTGAAGCACAAACTAAACTGCAAACTATAAAAACTATAAACCAGTTTATTTGAAGCTCTCTGATTGGCTATTTCAATTTTGTATTATGTAAAGTACAGTACATATATACGTATATTCATTAATATTCATTTGTACTTATTATTTATTCTAATGTAGTATACTGTATATATAAAATACTTCTTATTTTAAGCAACTTATAATAAAATATAAATTTTATTTAAGATTAGACATTACTATTATTTGGTATTTAGTTTAATTAAAATGTAACTACTGATTATTCTAGATCACGAACAATACAAATTACTTAAGAATTTGTTGGTTCCATTAACTTTTATCAATAATGATTTGAGAACTTAGTACTATTAGAACTAATTTCAACACTTAGCTAAGTATAAATTTATTTGAAATTTAAAAGTATATTTATTTATATATAATAAGTATATATATATAATAAAATACTAATATTTTAATATAAAAAACCTTAAGCATTTAATTAATATTTATAATTATCCTATTTGATTGCTAATCTAACTTTTTACGCATAAGCAAGCTCTTAATGTTTCTGAATGAAGCCAATTTTGTGTTTTTCAAATTGTCTAACTTGCGATAGAGAAAGCCTGCTCGTATACAACACTTGTTGCTTGTATAGAAAGGTAATCACGGGCAACTAATGATAGGATAGGATAATCTTTTTGATGGGTTTTCTACTAAAATAATGGCTTCATATTTTCATCTGGCAAAGAGTAAAGAAAATTGTCTAGTTCATTATTAGTTAGTAGATGTAATGTTATTTGGTCTTGAATAGTAGTATTCTTATGAGCAGTATAGGATGGTTGGCAATTTTGAAAACCAAGCTGCCAAAGGAATTGTCAAGTATTAGTGTATGGTTCAGATTCATGATCATTTATATTATTACAAAGCATAAGTGATTCAAATTGAGACTGGTAACAGTTAAAAACTTAATGGGTTTGATCAATAGCATTTTTTTGTTCTTCTGTATCACTAAAGATTTTAAGCCTAGTATGTGGATCAAGAACTGCAGATACTATAGAAGAATGATCCATTATTTCCCAATATTCTACTAATTTGTTATATATAGAGATGGCTATATTTTTTTGAGAGTATTCTTCTTTTTTGATATATGTATCAAGATGTCATTAAAGGCTTATAAAAACAAATCAGACATCACCATGGGTTGGGTAAGATGCTGCTGATAAATGTTTTGTAGCTTTCTCTAATGGCTCCAACAAGATCATAAGATTTTATATTAACATTATCATTATTGTTAGTTTCAAAGCTAAAATTTAATATGTATATATTATTAAATAAAAGTTTTCGACAATTTATAATCTAATTGGTAGAGAGTTGTCAGCTAAGTTTTAATTTGAATAATGTCATTACATTGTATTACATGAAAAAAAATTTAATTATTTTACTTACTTGTAATTTTTGTTGATCGTCATGATTAGGGTACAATTCAGAAATCAAGTTATTATCAATGCTAAAAAGATTCAAGGCTAACTTCATATTTTTAAATTTTTGTAGCATGTAGTAGGTACTGTTCTATCTTATTTCTATATCAAGCTCTGCTTTAAGATATTTAATTCCTTTAAGATCACATAACACATGTAATTTATCACAGAGATGAACTGATGCTTTAATTTTTACCATTAATTGATGCACTTTATTTACTGCTAAGCCAGCCATTATTAATCCTTATTTTGCTACTAAGTTCAAGACATGTGCTGTGCATCTATAGTAAGAGAACCCAATATTATTAAATTCATTTTCTAGTTCTTTTGCTAACAAATGACCACATACTACCATAGCAGATTCATTATCTGTAGTGAGTGCCATTATTTTATTATTTAATTTAAATTCATTAAGAATGGAACTAATAGCCTCTAATATATTAACACCTGTATATTAATTGCAAAAGGAACTATATCTAATAAAAAATGTTGAAGCTCCAATCAAAATCAATATAATAGATTGTAAGGCTCAAAAAAAAATCATTATCTAATGATTTTCATATATCAGCAATAAAAGAGATTTTACCAGAAATATTTTTAATATAATCTTTGATTTTTTCACGCTGTTTATTAAACTCATCAATAATCATATTTTTTGCTGCTTGTCTTATAGGAACGATGTAATGAGGATCCAGAACATTTATAAATTCATGAAAATACTAATTATTAACTACTGTGAATGGTTGTTGATCTATGATAAGCCAAGTTATTAACTTCTCATCTCTTTTTGTTGCTCTTGTTCATTATGAGGATCTTTATGATAAATTTGAAGTGTAGCTTGCTTTTTTTTTGATGCTTGTATTTGATGATTTTCAAGATGCTTTCTTAGTGCAGAAACTCCAGTAGAACTCTCATATACTTGCCCACATTTACAACAAAACTGGTTTCCCAAAATACTTGGCGGTTTCTGTATTAAAGTGCAGCCAAACAGATGATTTACACTTTTTTGACTTTCTTAATTGACCTACTGTGAGGATATTACTTAGAGATGATTCCAAAACTTGGCTAAAAGAATCATCAGCATTAGTATCTGAAGTATCAATTATTTCATCCTGAAATGTTTCATTATCATAATACTCTAAATTTATTTATATATCTTCACTCATTACAAATAGATAAAAAATTCACAGTTCTATTAGCAAACGTCAAGAGATTTATAAATTTAAAAAATAAAGGTTCAATACGATTCAGGTAACAAGATTTAAAATTCAACAATTTAAAAAAAACTTTATTATTTATAAACTTTAGTGATTTGGAGGTAAGGTAATTTTGAGTTATTGCTAATTCGATTTATTGATTCTCCTTATTAAAAAGTTTATTATTTTATAATTTTAAGACAATTACAAAAAAAGATTCTTATTTTTGTCTAATCTAATCCATTAAGTATACAATATTTCATTATTTGAGGCTTGGGCTAATTAAGAGAAACATTTCTCATACTTTTTTTTTTTATTATATTATTTGATTTTGTTGATAAATAACTTCATTTAATCTTTTTCATGAATTAGAAGCATCTTTTTTATTCTCATTCCTTCAAATGCCAAAGATCTCACCATCTAGGGGCTTTGAGAAGTATTGTATTTTCATATTATTTTTCATATTTGATTTTTTTAATAGTTTTATCTTGTAAATTAGAAGTATTTTCTGAATTTACTTTGCATGTTGTTTAAGCCAATTCTCTTTTTGGAATTATTACTATATGATTTTTTTTTTTATTCTTTAATGAGCATTAATCAATTTTCTTATTTGATTAGTACTCTGGCTACATCAGCTATTATCATTATAAGACCATATAGTTGATTAGTTCTAATATGATTAACCCTTTATAAGTGCATATTGCTAGCATAATATGTACTGTGAGATTTGTTATTAGCTAATTATAATATTAAATTATATCGGGCAATATATAATTATAGAGAATTGATTGTATTATTTATAATATGTAGCTTTTATCAAGATCATTCAGAATCAATAACACTAATATCTATTTTTTAAGTATTGTATATATAGTGTCTAGAATTGGAATTTGCCAGAATTAGTATCTGGTTGTATTGATTCTTACTTGACTTCGAAATTTTTAAGTGGATAATATAGTTTGATGATAAATTCTAGAGCTAAATAACCTGATTCTGATCCATAGCACCTGATTTTGAATTGGCAAAGTCAACATATGAAAGTATGCACTTATTTTTTTAGGAATATTATATTCATAATACATGCTAGTATTATCACATCCAGTTATATCTATTAATCATCAATTATATAACATATATATATAAAGATGGTATTTTATTTGTTTTTTTTTTTTATAGTTATACTGTACTAATACAAGTACTAATATTACTAGATAATAAATGCATGAATTATGTTCATTCTTTTCAATCCCAATTCCATTTTGCTAACAATATCCAACATTAAATGTTTTATCAGAGTCACTCATCTCTATAGATTTACTAGGAACATAGTAGAACAAGAAAATTCTATTTTAATTTGATGTATTCTTATTTAATATTGTAGTTTAGTAATTTTAATCTAATTCTTGTATTTTATGTTAATATGGTTCTTATTTTGACTGGCTATGACTAATTTATGTTAGCGTTAGTAGGTATTTTATTGACTTTTCGATGCATGCTGAAATGTGTACTAGGTTTGTAGTGCAAGTTCTTATGCTGATTTTTGAGAAATAGATGATTTTGATAAAATGAATGTTTGCTCTAAATTCTTGAGTGTCACATTGCACCTGTTTTTAAACCTGATTCTAGTCCAGAAAATCTGTACAACAAACCTAACACACATTTCAGACATGCTTGTACTATATTTGATGTTTAGGAATCCATCTAGAATGACACTTAAGAATTTTTAGTAATGGTGTGAAAATTTTGTAGTTCTATATAGAGATGCTAGTAAAGTGAAACTATTTCACCAGCATTTCTAGTTTTGTGATCTTAGAGGCAAGTCAGGCCAAACAATATTTTACACCAAACTGAGACTTGCAATCTGGAACTGTTACATTCAATACTAGTGTGTGTTTTGTATTAATGTAAGAGTTGGTGCTTATATTAGGGTAAGTGGTGTTAACTGAGTTATAATTGCTTTGATCAAATGATTTAATTAGATAATAGGATATTCTAGAAAGATCAACAAAATAGTACTAATTAGATCTCTTCAAATAATCTATTTTGTGCAAGACTAAAATATTGAAACCTTGCATTAATGTTAGAAGAAAAAATTTTGCTTTTAGAATGTGAATATGGCTTCATAATCAAAATTTAAAAATTGATACAATGGTCCTTTATGGGCAGTTTTAGTTATTATCTGGACCCAGATTTAATCATAAGATCCAGGTTTAGTTTCAAGATTCAAATTTATAATCAAAACTTAAAAAAATGATGCAATGGTCTTTCATGGTATTAATGAAGCAGTTTTAGTTATTATTTGGACCTAAATTTAATCATGAGAACCAGGTTTAGTTTTAAGATTCAAATTTAATCTACTAAATTCGAATATTATTAAATTCAGATTTTACACTAAATTCAGATTTTATAATAAATTCAAGTTTCTGGTTTTAACTTTAATTTGATAAATAATTGCTTAAGATGTAATATAATATATAGTATTATAAGTTTTCCTATTTTTTATTAAACATTTTTTTGTAACTAAATAAAAACATCTTTATTATATTCTACAAAGCTTTAAAAATAAATTTGAAGCAATGTTTTATTAATATTTGTAATATGTGAATTATTTTAAATACAATTGACTATTTCTAATAAAATTAAAATAGCTGTTTGTTTATTATTATTGATTTTGAATATATTTTTACAAATAATAATTTTATTAGTATTATTAATTAATTAACCTATTTATAAACTGGTTTTAAAAATTGAACCAAAAACTAATTAAACTGGTTTATAAATTAGTTTGAAATTCAGTTGTTGTTGAACTATAACATCTCTATATAACACATTCTATTCCTAACAAAATAACTTGAAAATGCAGCTACAATCATCAATACTCTTCTCACTTTACATTACTTCATTTATTACTCAAAGAGCTTGGATATATAATTAAAATTATTAAAAACTCTAACAATCTTAATATTGAACTGATTAATATTAAAGTACAGATTATTAACAATAGATCCATTTGTAACTTTTAAGCTCTTACCTTATATAACAACCTACATAGCTGGATTCATCATGCACAAGATATATAGAAGCAACTCTATCATGCTTATTATGTTGAAAACTCACTATTACTTTGACAACAAATACATCAAGCAACTGAAAAAAGATGTAAAACTTTCTTAATACATTCTAAACAAGCTATTAATAGCATTCTTAATTATTACAAACCTTTAATCCATTTTCCCAATATCAAACTTCCTGACCAACTAATTACTAAACCAAACCTTATCAAATAATATATACAATTTCACTTTTTTAACTAGACAACATATTGACCAATTGATCAAAATTTGTTTGATAACTTTTGGCATATACAATATCAATCCCAATCATATATTAATACTCAGTAGTACAATTTTTTTAACTCTCTTATTACTAAAGAAAAAGTTCTTCAAACTATATCAAAACTTCCAAATGAAAAAGCCTGTGAACCTACAGGCATTAGCTATAAAATGCTTAAACATGCAAGCATTATCTATATTAAAGCTATCACTGCTTTACTCAGATTTCTAAACAATAGAAACATAGCAGAATATACCCTATTCCTAAACATAATACATTTAATAGTAACTTAAATCTTACTCACCCTATAAGTCTTATTGAACATATTCAAAAAGTGTATACAAAAATTATTACTACTAGGATTAGTACTGTGTTCTCACAACATTCTATTTTATCACCATATAATTATATTGCTTTACCTAATAATAGCATATCTATATCTATTCATATATTTAACAACCTCATCAAAGATGTATTATATAATTAAAAACCAATCTGGCTTATATCTTAGAATATGAACAAAGTATACAATTTTGTTAATCTAATCCTACTTCAAAAGTTTCTTTAATGCCTTGCCTTATCTAACTCTATTACTAATGCCATTATCAACATACTTACTAACCAACATAACCAAGTTATTACAAATCTTGGTCTTACTTCATCATTCCAGTACTTAATGAAATTGATCAGGATGAAACTATTACTTTACTTTTGTGGAGAATTTATTATGATCTACTTATTATATATATTTATAACAATTTTAAAGGTTATATTACACAGGTCTTCTGGCCTACTAATCTTAAACACAAAATATACAACAAATCCAACTCATATTGCTTAGTTCTTGTTTATATAGATGATACTCTATAGGTTACATCTTCACAACAGAGCTATTATAAATTTTATCAACAACTAAATCTTTTTTTAACATGGCTAATATTCAAATTAACTCTTCCAAATCCTTATTAACAACTAACAACACCTCAACTGGCTATACTCCTATTATATATAATAATCATTTTCTAAATCTTCATTCATCAAATAAATCATTTAAATTTCTTGAATGCTGGTTTACACTTAACAACAAACAAACTAAACAAACCAAACTTATCACTACTAAGTTATCACACCTTATCAAAATTGCAAGCACTAAACAAATTACTGATACACAAGCATAATATATAATTAATACTGTTATTATCTCTACAATTGAGTATCATCTTCATAACATTGTTCTTAGTCAAAACACATGCAACAAAATTCTTATAAGCCATATTGAACTTGTTAAAAATAAGGCTAAACTCAATCATACAATTTCTACAAGTACACTACTTTATCCTCAACTTTACAATATTCATAATATATAGAATATTCAATTACAATACCATATTACAAACTTTACCAAAAAACTTAATTCATCTAACCTTTTGGGAATAAGTACCCACATTAGACTCCAACAACTTCAAAATAATTTATGATTATCTACCAGTATTCTAATATATAATAATCTCATTATTGATGGTTCTAACAAACATACAGTTAATTTCAAGATTATTCAGCTCTTTAAACATCTTGGTATGATGTTTATATCTAATCTACTATACAACATTTCATGCACTATTCAAAAGGGCTCTATCTCACTTAAATTACTACTTTCTTTATATTCTAAATATATAACATTCAAGAAACAACTCAGACATTATGGCATTTTATATTTAGATCAACTTATCACTTTTAATAACTTATGTCTTCTAGACTAGAAACATATTTCTCTATGTATAAACAAAATTTCTAAAGGCAAACAACTACTTTGGTTTACTTTTTTGAAGGACCAAGTTACAAGTCACTCATATAATTGTACTCTTTATTGAAATTTACATTTACCTAACACAAATTATTATAGTTATACAACTGAACATTTTTCTTTACAGAAAAAACCATGGCTTATTATGGTTCTTGACAACCAAATTATCATTGGCAAAACTAAAAAACAGCCTTTACTATCTAAAACTGTTCTTATAACTTATTGGCAATATCATATTAAATTACAATTTACTCATCTCTATTCTTTTTCACCAATTCAATCA